TTTTCTTTGTGACGTGGGAATTTCAGCAGTCTCTAAAGAGTCATTTTATCTCTTGGAGATCTCAAAAGCTATTTGTAAACCAACCTGGTGGATGACATCCCCCAAAGCAGAGTTTTTTGATCTGCTATGGTAGCTTTCACCATCCTGGCAGCCTCTCAATGGATTGGACTACAGTTCCCATCCTCCCGAGCCAGCAACTGCTGTTGGATGTTTCACGGGACACATTTACAGTAAGGGTTAGGAATTGTGCAACCTTGCAAATATTTGTTGGGCTGCTGGTCCCATCATCCCCAGCCAGCAAGTGCTGTTGGATGTTTCACAGGACACATTAACAGTAAGGGCTAGGAATTGTGCAACCTTGCAAATATTTGTTGGACTGCTGGTCCCATCAGCCCTAGCCAGCTAATGTTGAGGAATTCTGGGAGGTGTAGCGTAGCAACATTAGAAGGCTGCATGATTCCTACCCTGATATACAGTGTTGAAATGGAACTGATCTTAAAGACATGACTCATAAAATAGATACTCCATTTTTGTCTTGCCCAAGAATGCCAGTGCATCTGTGCCACAGGGTTATTAAGCAGAAACCACAATCACTCCATGCCAACCAGCGATGTCCTTTTAGAGCATTTCTGAGCCTAAATGGAGAACCATGACTACAAGATCAGAACTTAAAACTTCATGCAGGCCAAAACACTTTGCAGAGTGAAAATTGGTCAGTTTCTTCTCCCCTCCCCCCAAAAAAAACCCCATCTCCTAAACTTCTGTAGTATAATGCAGCAGCCCAAAAGGCAACACAGTTCTAAGCTGCATTAGTAGGGACATTGTGTCCATATCAAGGGAATTATTATTGTCAGTCTGTTCTACATTGATCAGACCTTAACTGGAATAATCCTGTGTCCAGTTCTGTGCACCACAGTTCTAAGAGGATGTTGAGAAGCTGGAGCGTGTCCAAAGGAGGGCAGCCAAAATGGTGAAAGGTCTAGAAACCATGAGGAACGACTTAGGAAACTGGGTACATTTACCTGGAGAAGAGACAGTTAGGAAGTGATATGATAGCCTTGTCTAAGTAATTGACGGGAGGTCATATTGAGGCTGGAGCAAGCTTGTTTTCTGCTGCTCCAGAGAACAGGACACAGAGCAATGGATTCAAACTACAGGAAAAGAGATTCCACCCAAATATTAGGAAGAACTTCCTGACAGTAAGAGCTTTTTGGCAGTGGAACAGACTGCCTTGGAGAATGGTGGAGACTCCTTCTTTGGAGGTCTTTAAACAGAGGCTGGATGGACATCTCTCAAGAATGCTTGGATTGTGTATTCTTGTATGGCAGAAGGAGGTTGGACTGGAAGGCCCTTGAGGTCCCTTGCAACTCTATGATTCCATGAACAAGGATGTGGACAAGCTGGAGCATGTCCAAAGGAGGGCAACCAAAATGGTGAAAGGTCTGGAAGGGTCTTTCTTTTGTCTCACAAGTGCACCATGAGCCATTTCTCCTTCTTGTGCCATAAGCTCATATTTCAATAGCCCTGCTGAACTACCCAATGAGCTGAGGCTTCAAAAACGGTCAGGAAAAGTCTAAGCGTATGGAGTTCTTTCCCCCCCAACATAGTTATGATTTTCAGTTTGACTATGTTGTTCTTCCATAATTGCTGCATGAGCTTCCCGAGTGTTGTCTCCAAGACTGTTAAAAGATAGCACTGAAGCACCCAGGAGAAGGAAAAGTTCAACCTTTGTTCCCATAAGCCAGGGGTAGGCAACCTTTTTGAGCAAGGGGCTGGGTTGCTGTCCCTCAGCAGTTGGGGGGCCGAAGCAGCAAAAAATTAAAAAAATATGCATGCACACTCTCTCAGCCCCAGAAAAGCCATGACAAAACCCCTGTGGAGATTTTGCCAAGAAAAACCCAAGAACAAGTAGTAACAACAATAATCAATATCATCATGGCGGGCGGCAGCGGCAGGACTGGGCTGGGGCCGGTCCAAAGGCCTCGGGGGGTGCATCCGGCCCCCAGGCCTTAGGCTGCCTACCCCTGCCATAAGTTCTCCCTGAAGCCTTTTAAGGCATGCCCTAGTCCTCCGTCTTCCTCCCAGACTCCATCCCTTCCTAGAGAGATGGACATCCTCAAGGGAGAATCCTTGGGTGCCAAGCCAAGCTCTCCTCTGCTTCCTCAAGGCCTCCTTGTCCATGCACTGCTGGCCTTTGCAAGGGATACTTAGCATTTTCTGGGGAAAGTGACGCTTTGAGGGACAGCGACTCCCAAATCCCCCCAGTCTGGCTCTCTTTGACGAACTGGGCCAAGTGTTACACCAGGAGTGGGGATCCCCTGCCCCTCACTCTCTATCCCCATTAATAAAAAGACTGTTTCTCCATAACTGATTGCATCCATCTTTTTTTCTTCTTGCTTCTTCTTCTCTTTTATTTTCTTATGCCCTGCCTTTCTCTCAACATAGGGACTCAAAATGGCTAACAGCAAATTTAAAAACAATACAATTTAAAAACAATCCAAAATTAAAATGTATAAATGTAAAATTTAAGAAACAAACCATTTTACAAGTTAAAACAGTTATGAATTAAAATGTAACATGTTAAAAATACAATCAGCAGCTTAGAAAGGCCTGACAGCATAAGAATGTCTTCATCTGCCACCAAAAGGATAGCAGGGATGGAGCCATCCTGGCCTCTCTAGGGAGAGAGTGAAAAGCTTGGGAGCAGCCACTGAGAAGGCCTTCTCTCTTCTTCTTCCCTCCAAAGGAGCCTGAGAGGTTCTGGGACAGAGTGAAGGGCCTCTCCCAAAGACCTCAATACTCTGGGGTGCTCATACAGGGAAATACAGTCCTTCAAATAGCCTGGACCCAAGTCATATAGGGCTTTGTGGGTCAAAACCAGCACTTTGAATTGTGCCCGGAAATGGACTGGCAGCCAATGGAGCCATTGCAACAAATGAGTTGTATGCTCCATTTAACAGCCTGGCTGCAGCTCTTTGGACCAGCTGAAGTTTCTGAGCACTTTTCAAAGGCTGCTCCACTTAGAGCGCATTAAGGTAATCCAAATGAATCATAGAATTATAGAGTTGGAAGAGACCACAAGTCCAACCCCTGCCATGCAGGAACTC